CGCGAAGACGCACTATGGAGCGGAATGATGGAAAAGGCGGACAAAATTACGTTAGTACACAAGCGAATCGCGTTTTGCCCTCGAATCCTCGTTTGGGATAAATCAAGTTGAAGTTGACTCTGATAAATTTGGTCACTGAGTAATTTTTACTTAGCAGTGAATTCTTCAAAAATATCCGTCCATAAAGTTCTCTCCGGAAAAACGCAGTTCTCATCTACAGGTTCTAGTTCCATGATTTTTTACTTCATAACTTTTCCTTGTAAGCACATGATATCTTTGGTTAGTTAGGAGATAAATACGATGTTATTTTGCACACACTTTAATGTGTAATATTTCTTTTAATAAACCAAAATAAATCCTGTCCAAAGACGGATTATTTCCTCTCCATTATCACTACTCTGTGATTTTAATTTAAAAAATATATAATTTAATACAATAAGAGAATTTTAACGATAACCGTGATGAGAAGAATATAGAAATGAGATTTAGAGATGTTAATAACTCAAAAACCATAAAATGGAATCAGTGAGGGTCACTTGTATACTGACGATTTGTTCTTCAGTAAAATTTTATTCACTATTTAAACGGAATTGGCGCTTTTTCAAATTCCCGTTCAGAGGAGAATTTTTCAGACTACAAATCGCTTCGGAATGGAAAATTAATTTGATTCAAAAGCGTTCAAGCTCGTCACCTCCAATACAAGACTCGAGAAGGAATAATGTCAACCACCCCAACACAGTAATGCGTGGACATCTGAATTCGTTCTACGCAATAATGTTTTATAATGCTATGACGATTTATCACGACTTGCTCTGTAAGTTCATTTTCTAATGCTGGTAAGTGCGTTTCTCTCTTCATTATCTTTCATTGTTAGATTGCTTAACGGATGAGCGTAATAATGGGAATAGGAACAATAGGCGATGTAATAATGGGTGTAGGGGAGCTGTAAAAATGGTTGTCAACAATGGGATAATTCATGCTGTCAAATGGACAAAAAGAAGTTTTAGGATAATGCTAGACTGATTAATAACGGAAATCCCTGCAGACCCTGTTGAAATAAGCTCTTGACAATGAACTATTTTATCTACGGTGCGGCAACCTGTAGATACACTGTTACAATATCTCCGGTTCGTAGTGACAGAACAGGAAACGATATAAGGTTGATCAAATCAAAGCTACTAAATTTTTCAATTCATAACGAGTAAAATCATCGAGCCATAAATACAAAGAAAATATTTACTTTTATCACGGTCGGCTAAGAGTTAGAAGACCTTTGTATTCTTACACACTAAGTGCACTGGCATACACACGATATTCGTGAAATGACGAAGATGAGAATATCATAGGTTCGGGTCCTCGTGGTGAAGTATCTGCGACTTCAGCTGATCACCTTGGTCGGAGCCTACTAATTCCTGGATAGAAATTTAGGGAATGGTTGCAATGATCGATTGTTTTAGAGATCCCCCAAACAATTTCTTACGGATTCAGTATAATGATTCACGTGACTTTCAAAACAGATTATGATGATCCGTCATTCCCCATTCTCTTAATATAGTATTCGAAATTAAGAGCTACTTTGAAGTTACATAGATTCTTGCTTGTTGTATCTACAGGACAAGTTTCATAATATACGAATACGCGTATAATGCTTTTAAGTCAACGACTTAAATAGTGAAACATTATTTACTTCAACAACGAAAGTAATAAGAATGTTCTTGAAGTACAATTGGAAATAGTTGAGGAGTGGCCAGAGAAACATTAAAATTGACAACGTGAACTACTGACAACTATCGAAAAATATTGATCTTACAATAAAATGAATTTATAACCGTTTCATTTCTTAAAAATTTACTTTGTTGTTGCTCTTCTACACAGTTGAGGACACAATCAACAAAAGAAGTCTTAGAATTTAAAATTTTTATTTTGATATATGGTTGACTAAGTAGCTAAAATAATATTGATTCAGGACACTACAACTATCGACGTCATTATTCCCGTAAATAAAGTACATTTTTTATCCGGGGAAGAAAAAGCGTTCCTCTCCCGCTGGGACGTTAAGGCCCGGCGCGCACTCTTCCGCGCCTTGCGGGGGAGGGGTAGAATCTTCTAGGTATCTCCGCAGCGGTTCACCGCCCCATTCGGACAAGCTCCAAGCTCTTGTTTTACCTGCCGACGTGTGTAATTGTGTACTGTATGTAAGGGTAAGTGTGTCTATGTAAGAGGTGAGGATAGGACTACGGAAGAGGAAGGAAAGTTCGCGCGCGGTCCCTGGCTCGTTTTTAGGGTTTACTTTGCGTTGATCAGAGAAATCACGGAAATTACCGGTCAGGGCAGCAGTCCGCTAGAATTCTCCTTCAGAAAGCGGCTGATTTCGTTCAAGCTCCCTACTTCTTACGCTTAAAAATACGCCTTCGTCGGGACTCAAACTCTAGAACATTTCAGTCAACAATGATGCAGAGACAACAATATTGCCACTGAGCTTCCGTAGTCATGTTCTTGAATCATTATGGAGTTTCGAGAAAATTGATTTTTGTTCGTTTTTTTGCGCCATTGCGTCTTACCGTGCGGCGGCGGCGGCGGCGGGGGCGACGGCGGCGGCGACGGTTGCGTCATCGCCGTAACTGCGAGAAGTGACACCGCTCCGCAGGGATGCGCCCGGCACGTCGCCGAACAAAAGACGCGCGTTCGCGGTCCGTCGCCCCGCCGGCGGTGGGCGTGACCCGCTGTCCGAGTTCGAGCGGAAAGAGATCGTTTAGATCGCTCGACATGACGAGGGAGCTCGAGCGTATTGTGTGCTCAGGACAAATTGCGGCGTCGCGGTGTCTTTCATTACGCTGTCAGGTAATGACCTTCCTGTCTCGAGGAGGAATTCTTCTCAATGATGAGTTATCTCGTTTGATGTGGAAGAATGCTGTTGGATGGACGTGATTAAGTGGAAGACGTTTAAAAGAGGAATGTGTGATGTTTTGAAGTGCTGTTGGATCTCGAGTGTTAAGCTGTAAAAATAAATTATGAATCTAAATGGTAAAAATATTTGTTGAATCTATCAATATTGCGGATAATTTGTAAATTACACTAGTTAATTCTTTTATGAAAGATTTTTCTTTGTATTTATCCAAAGAACTTTACAGTTCCATCTCACCATTTCAATGTAAAAGTATACGTTAAGAAGGAGCTTTTGTAAAGAATCACTTGCCAGTGTTTGTATAAGATGCGTGAATAGAGATCATTTTTTATGTTCTCTCGAACTTTGATCTTTCACAATTTGTCTGCGAACGTTTTTGCAGAAGACATTTTGCAAACATCTTATTAAATGCAAATCATCCTATTCATCCTTAATCGAAAAAGAAACATTGTCCTACCAACAACCTGTTCACGCAAACAATTTTTTTCGAACATTACAAGACAAATACCGAGCCGGAGAGGCATTCATGCGAGCGTGAGGCACGCAACAGGTTCTATTCACTTGACGGTGCTGTTGCGCAGTCGGCGAATCGAAAGAGTCGCGTAAATATACGCCGAGGCGCACGGTAATAGCGCGGAGACAGCGCAGCGGCGCGGGGCGATTCCGCAACGCAGCCCCGAGTACGCGCGGCGCCTCGCAATGTGCGCCTGGCATCCCGGGTCAGCGCGGTTCGACTCTCGGGCGAGGCGCCACGCCCCGCACCGTCGCGCCACACGCGCTGCGCATGGAGCTAGGAATGCGACATAGATAAAAAAAAAATGTTTCGAAACAGATATTCAAAATTCGTTATTTCTAAACATCGATGTTCGAAATTAAAAGATCTTTTTTAAAAAGTGGATTAGTAATCATTGAAGTTTCACGTGGAAGGGTTTAATTTTAAAGTGGTCTCATTAATTATATTTAATTCGGATTTAAGAGGCAAAACAAATCAAAAAATCATCAAGGTAATTAACAGAATTTGATTTGGTAATTCAAAACTAATATTTGTTCCTCCCTTTTTATTTCTTTTTCCCCTGTTGGTCATCTTGGTCTGAAGAATATTCAGTTTAAGGATATATGAACATTATTACAGAATTTTATTATGATGATACTTATTAAATTACGTCTATGCATAGGCTTCAATTATGAAATATATTTATATCATTCTGAAAATCGGAAACTATGGATTTTCCATTTTTTTGGACTCAACTTACATTTGATATCATTTAACATTTTTGAGAATTTGTTGACCTATTGTAAGTTTTATTAAACTTCAGATTATTGAAAACCGGGCTTTCTGACATTTCGAAGGTTTTTCAAAATGCGATTCCGCAACGCAGCGGCGCGTCGCAATGAGCGCCAGGCATCCCGGGTCAGTGGGGTTCGAGTCCCAGGAGTGGCGAGGCGCCTCGCTGCGCTGCGCAGTGAGCTTGATCAGACTGAAAAGCCCGGCTGGGGTTTCATGCGTAGTTAAAACAACGGGAATAAAGTGCCGATTAGAGACGTAGTTATTTTATCTCTACAAAGCAACGATTAAAAGAGAGAAAAAATTGCTGTTGGCGTCACCTCATATTTAACTTCTTTCATTATAATATTTCCGTGTTGTTTGCCAGAAATTCGTAATAAATCAATGCTATTTATTGTCTTTTTATTTTTTATATATCTTGCTCTCTTGACCGTTTTTTACTAAATATAATTATTTATCTACCCTTCTGAAAATTTATTAAATCTTTAACATTTCTATTTAGTGACATTTAGAATTTTGAGAATTAGTTGTATATGACTATTATTGAACGAAAGTTGCGTGAAAACTGGGAGATTTCTAACATTGTAAATAATGTTTATGTAATTTTTACTGTTGCAAGTGTTACAGTTCACACAATTGTACTTATAATAAAATGTATTTCTTTAAGTGGACAATTTTTCGTAAAAATCGATTCTAATATCCAATTGATAAATATATTTTTGCTTAAATGTTTTGCTTGTCGTACTTTTGCTTCATAAAATGCCGATTAAAATATTGTGCAAACGAAAAAATTGGCTTAAACAACTTACAACGAGAGTTAACATTTATACTTTCGTCGTCATGAGGGAATTCAGTTTTTCTTCTGAAGTTTTTCTTCCGTTCTTCTTTCTGCTCGTTTCTGCCCACTGTGCGGCGCGCCGAGGCGGGGGTCACTTGCACAACCCGCGCGTCGCCATCTCTGCCTCCGTCGCCGCTGCTGCGATCAAGACGCGGTGGGATGAGATCTCAATAGGGGGACCAAAATGAGATCGAGTTTTTTACTTCGTGGGAAACGAAGTGTTTGGGAGTTGTTGGAGGTCGCCGTTTTTTAAAGTTCCAAAAATAAGATAGTCGTTTTAACACGGTGGGCCGAAATCTTCATAAAATGCTCTCCGAAAACAAGTTTGTCTGTAGTTATTTTGGGGAACTCTGTTTGTAATTCTGAGAGTCAATTTTAAGATGTGTAATAGCGGGTCTGTTATGGCAGTTTTGAATGTCAAAACTGTGTGCAATTCAGTTAAACAAAACTGTTGTATGATATAGTTTTCTGAATCGCCGAATACAGTATAGTATTTAATTTTTGTAATTAATACATTTCAAAATGTTTACGTTTATTTTTCTATGCACAAGAAATATACTGTATTTATACAAAATTATATGTAACTTAAAACTTCATTTTCCGATTTTCTGAATATATTTATCTTGATTATTAATGATTTAACTTACATAATATTTGTGTGCAGTTTGCGCCAATACATGTCAATATTTTGCATATTTTTCATGATCCGTTTCTGCAGAATTGTTGACAAACCTCTATAAAGATAACCCATGAAAAGTATGTACGTACGTATAACAGCATTCAAGTTTACAATTTTTGAAATTTGACGCTTTCTATTTTAATCTGTGTACAAAGACGCGTCAAAATTTTAGAATGGATACTTTAGTCGCATTTTGACCAACTTTCCGAGATTTCCCCCACAGCGCTCCGCCACCGCCTCTCGTCTCCTCAGGCGCCGCCGCAGCGGGGCTGCCGGGCGCAGCTCTTTCCTTATACAACAGCAGCCTCCGCTGCCTGCTCACCTACAAACCGCCGAGGCCAGCTGAGTACCAACGGCCCCTGAATGGTGTCCACGCACCTCAATCCGCATTTGTCCGTCTTGCGGAGCTTTTGTTGAGCAATACGAATGGAGAGAATTCCAACTAAGCGGGTGATGTATTTACGATTCTAAACGTTGCAATCTAGGGTGAATTTATTTGTTGAGATTGTCGTCACAAATTATTTAAAATTTCTTGTTAAATGAGCCATTAGCGATGCTTTCAATGTCTTTTCATTTTGTGCGTTATGATAGTGGTAAATACATTAACTCCACAAGTAACGACTAAATCGACAGAGAGTCACAGACACGTCATGGACTTCCCGTCGACCGTGTCTTAGGAAAAATGATAGACTACCTCAACAACAACAAAAAATAACAATTTCATTACAAGACTTTCGTCTTACAGTTTCACAACTTACATCAACGTCTTTAAATACTTAGAAATTTTACTGCTAATGTTCGTAGATTTTATGAATACATTTGAGTAACCAACCACCAGCGGAATTCAGCTCTCACTACTCATCACGAAGTATTCTCCTTGTTCGTTCAAGGTCTTCTAACATGATACCCCGTTGCTAGGTGGAGACAAATGTAAATAATAACCAGATAAGTTTCACGTTACTCTACGTCGCATTTTTAGTCTGCGTAGTCATTTAGTTTGCAGATTATTTTTATTGTCATATTTCGCGACGCAATTCGTATTAAATGAATGATGAAACTCATAGTTCTCAATGGAATATCAAAATTCGTTCCGTCTGTCTGCTAGGAAAGATACAGGAGAAAATAAGTCTGGAGCAGAAGATTCACGTGCCCCCTTATTTAAACAGAAGATCTGACGCTATAAATAAAACAAATAATTTCTCATTTCAATAGAAATAAATTGTAGCGGATAATTTGAATAAGAAGAAAATACGTTTTTATTTCTTTTGCATGAAAAACATTGGGGCTGCAATTCAGGTTGTGCTTTGAGTAAGCTGCGTCAGCCCAGACCACCTCTTCTGGGAGCCCCTTGGGTACTATTTCGCAGTCATTCAGATTCAGTTATGCGTATTATTTTATTCCATTTTATAGTAAATATTATTAACAGAACATTCAAGAAGCCCTCTTTCATTAATTTCTTATTAAACGCGTGATTCCTGCGCATCATAACCAGCAAACGGTGTAAAGACGTTTGTCTTAAATGGAGTGAAACCAATATTACAGTTTACTAACAATATAATGATATCTGCTAATGGTTTTGTAAACACAACGTAGTTCATCACTTCTGAGCAGTTATTATGTTTTAATTTGCAATTCTGCGTATTCTTTTCAAATAATTATCATTCTGGTGTTTTTTCTTGTTAGCTGATTTTCTGCTAATTTCGTATCCATACATTATCATTAGTTTCCTGGGGAATATCCACACAAACATGGAGTTCGGAAAATCAAGCCAACCACAAACTTCCTCGGAAACGCAGGTGTGTGTCTACGAGTGGTGAGTGCGCCTTGTGGAAACAGGAGTGGTCGTGCAGGCAGCGCGTTTGCTGCATGCTCACATAAGGCTAATGAAGTCATCTTCGTTTTCGCCCGCCAAGGGTCAGGTGGGCGGGGCCGAGCGCAGCGCAGCGCAGGCGCCGTCCGTGCTGCG